TCTCTCTCTGTGTGTGTGTGTGTGTCCCTTTCTCTGTCTCTCTTTCTCCCCTAAGCTCTCTCGCCCTGTCTATATATATGTCAGTCTGTCAATCTGTTTCTCTGTCTCTGTTTCCGTCTGCCTGTCTGTCTGTCTGTCTGTCTGTCTGTCTGTCTGTCTGTCAGTCTCTCTCTCTCGCACGCGCGCGCGCGCGCACGCGCGCATACACACACACACACACATATTATATTAAATTTTCACAATTTCAGATCATGGAAAAGCACATGAAGCAATAATGATAGATCTACCACTTAAAGTCTTTAATACCCTAACACCTTCCATTCGCCATGACATCCCCCCCCCCAAAAAAAAAGTGGTAATCGGACAAAGAAAGTAGCAAAACCGATCGATGGCACTTTGTATTTAGACATCTTTTCGCAGACCCAGGTAACGTATCTTTCACTAGTAGAATGCAAGCTCTATTTGGGCATTTAGACTGGAAAAAAACTCCAATTTATAGCTGATATAACAAGGTTGAAATGTGTTGAGTTTGTGCATGGAGTGTCAGTCTGGTAGGACCACAATCACATTGTCATTATTTTGATCTATATTTTTCTATTCATCAAAATATATTCGTCGTCCTTTGGAAATCGAAAGAAACTCAGATTTTGATTCTAATAGATGCAGTTTATAGCAGAACACCATTGACATTTCGGATAACCGGGGCCATGCTTGTCTGCGATCAACGAAAATGCCTTGAACAATGAACGCAGCTTGTTTTGTTTACCGCGCGTTTCTCCACGATCAGCTGGTGACCCAGATACGCGCATCCGGGCGAAGTGTCATCTCTCTAGTATCTCTGGGCCAACTTACAGTTTTGCTGTAAACAGACTGATTAGTTTTAATCTTTTTTAAAAGTTCAGTTCCTGGGACACATGGTACAAAGTTTATGTTCAGAGGCAAAATAGAAAGCTCTCAACTAGCGGCACAGAGAAGAAGAAATATTCCAAAATGGGCAGCTAAATTCGGACAGCTGTTGGGATTCCAACCTCAGACTTCCGTATGTGTGTTGATACATTGTTCAATTTTAGATAGAAAGGTCTAACCTATATGAAGAACTGATGGATTTGATCTCTTGTAATTCCAAAGTAGAATACCAGACCTTTGTCAAAACGCATGTAGCCTAGCCTACATGTACGAGTGCTTGTTTTCAGGTAGTAATCGATATTTTCCCCTCAAGACTTTGAGGAACTTCATTCATTATGTAATGTGCACACATGAAATACGGAGTGCAAAGTGAAAACGTGTTAAAAATTTCCCACTGTTCCACGGTCAAGTTGGAAACTACGGGCTGTATTTCAAAATCTCCTTACATCACCATGAGTCGCCGAGTCCAGATAAGAAATTATATGCCCGCCCTTGGGGAAGATAATGTGTGTAGCAACGCTGTGAAATCAGGCGCTCGTCAATTTTTGGGCATGTGGGGTTATTTAACATCTTAAAGTTTGTGCATTTGTCTTACTTTTGATGACAAAATAACCATCTCCAGCTCGAACAGAAATAGAGATATTTGCTATTGAAAGAGGTCAGGGTTGCCTGGTGTCAGAAGGAATAAAAAAACTTCGCGAGAAATTAAAGGCGCCAAGGTTTGGTGATTTCCAAAGATTGAGAGTCCTTGGAAACAGTAAATTTACAACATTGGCGCCTTTGTTCAGCATTTTTGAGAGAAATGAACAAAGAAACGTGTTTTAAATGAAGTTCCGATGCGTTGAGCCGCCAAAACACAAGAATTCGACAAAAATTGCTAAACTGGCAGGAGAACGACAGTATCTTCGATTTCATTATTTTGAAGAGAGCCTGATTTCGCCACGATGTCTCTTATAAAGACACAAAGGCCACTGGAGGGCTACAGTGTTGGAGAATTCATAGAATAAGGAACAGAACAGAAAGAGGGGATGGTTGAGTTGATTTGGAAACACCGAGACAGCTACGTAATTAAAAAGTAGGTCAGCATGAGGAAATATTTATTTGTGACTAAGTGTGAACTGCTCATACTATTTTACTCAATTCCAAAGAAAATGTGGTAGAAGTGATGTTGCCCCCCCCCCCCCCCCCATTTTAAACTGGCCTGACCAATGCCCAGAACTGAGGTTACCATGGGGGTTCTCAATGGGGTTGAGGCTATATCTTACAGGAACAGGAAACAGTGAGCTGTGATGGTCGTGATTCCACGAAGACGTGGGGGTGGAGGCTGTGGAGGTGGGGGCTGTGAGGGAGGGGTGGGGGTTATCCTATTACCAAGATTCTTTGGCCTTTGAGTAACGTCCACGCAAAAACTAAAACTGCACCTTTTGTCCTTTCCCAGCTTTATTTGAAAGTTTACCATGTTTGATGGTGCCACCATCTAAGACAAACGGTACGTTTGCTGTGCGATTGCCCGCCAAACAAACCCGAGCTGACAAGGATTTCGTTTCTGCGTGTTGCTTGTTATGCAAATTAAACCGGACCTATCGTTGGAAGCGTGTGTTGAGTTCTGTGTCTTGACAACTCTGTTTGCCTCTGCTGAGTGGGAAAAACAAACTTCGAGTGGCTGAGGTAACAATATCGGGCTAAATTAGAGATGCATACATTATAATGGGTATATTAACATGACTGTTTATGTGCTTGCAGGGGCGTGCGCGTGCGCGTGCTCGTGTTTCTATGTACAGCCGAACTTGTCATCTAAGGCGGACATACATTTACAAGGAGAACTGGTCGTATTAGACAGGTTGACGTTTTACACAGTGTAATTATAATGTTTAAAAAACAACAACAACAACAACAAAGGAAATATGAAACAGCCGTTTGTACGGGTGTTTGTGTTACATGTATACAATTGGCCATTAGAGCAGGCCCAACTGTATAGATTAGAATTTAAGCATGCATGAATATGCTCACAAAAATAATAACATTATTGTTATACTTGTTTTGTTTGGGCAATCATTTTTTTGTCTGCTTATTTGCCTATGAGCCTGTCCGTCTGTCATGCTCTCCGCCCCCGCGCATGTCCACGCAAACGTGTCCTAAACAAGCAGTCCTCCACAGCTCAAGTAAACTAGAACGAATCACACTGAATAATTCGTCTTTACCGTTCTGCTTCATGTCAGAAGGTCACAACAATTAAGTACTAGATCTAGTGAAATTAAAGCTGCCCTTTGTTTTAAGATAGCAGAAAGCATAACTTAAATTGACAAAGTCGACATACTTGTTCTGATATTATGATTTCAGCAGGCAAGAGTAAAGTATCGTTGGCCTCCACACACACACACACACACACACACACACACACACACACACA